GTGAAGAAGTATTCTGTCTATGGATAAATCGAAGGGGAATATCATAGCTAAGATGGTGAGAAGATTTGCAGGAAGAAAAAGGTAGATGAGGTTACGACAAAACTGAGAGTTAGTTACTTGCCATTCACATTCAAAGGACGTAAGTTAAGACCAAATGATATTCGTGATGATGAAGATGTTGTGTGTTATTATGAGGATGTGAGTGAAGAAGGGCTTAGAAGTGTATTGCATGTCGAAGTGACCAATGACGTTGAACAAAATCAGGGGATCGATGAAAATGAGGGGTTTGATCAATTTTTAAGAGAGGATTTGGTTAGAGGATATGTTGCTAATAGTGAAGATATTCCTCTAATTGGTGGAGCGGATGATAGTGGTGGTGGTGTCCTTGCTATGTATGTTGGAGAACCATCACAACAATATCCGGCGGTGGTGGAGAATGAAGATAGAGATGTAGAAGAGAATGCATCCGAAACTATTTTATGGGAAGATGAGATTGATATTACGGTAGGCCAAGAATTTAGAAGCAAAGAAGCAATACAAAGTTTAGTTGAAAAGGCTGGACATAATAATGTCTTTGAGTTTGTTGTAAAGAAGTCGGAGCCATTGAGATATGTGGTGGCATGTTCGGAAGCACATAACGGGTGTGATTGGTATATACGAGCTGCGAGGCGTGATACGACTAAGCCTTTTTCTATACGAACTCATAGAAATATTCATTCATGCTCTCGGTCAAGTACAAGTACCGGGCGGCGAAGTAGAAGGAAAGGCACACCAACTATGGTTGCTTCTTTGTTGGCTGAAGATTATCCGGGTAAACTTACCACACCACCTCCAAAAGATCTTATTGATTTGGTCCAAGGACGATTTGGTGTGCAAGTGTCATACTCTACCGCGTGGAGAGGGAAAAAAGAAGCTGGAAATGATATTCGAGGTACCCCAGAGGATGGTTTTAGGCTTGTGCATTCGTATATGTACATGTTAGAGAAGATGAATCATGGTACAGTTTCGTATGTAGAAGTGGATGAGGAACAAAAGTTTAAGTACTTGTTTTTTGCATTAGGAGCTTCCATTGAAGGCTTTCAAGTCATGAGAAAAGTGATCATCGTGGATGGAACCCACCTTAAGACTGCATATGGTGGAGTGCTAATTGTTGCTACGGCTCAAGATCCCGATCATCACCATTATCCGATTGCTTTTGGTGTAGTGGATGGCGAGAAAAATGATAGTTGGACTTGGTTTCTCAAGAAGCTCAAAACGGTTATACCGGACGATCCTGAAATTGTGTTTGTTTCGGATAGAAACCAAAGTCTCATCAAGGCAATAGCTGAGGTATATCCGTCGTCCCACCATGGGCATTGTATCTTCCATTTGTCTCAGAATGTGAAATTGAAGGTTTTTGGAGTAAACAAAGCAGTATGTGGAAAAAAGTTTCGGGAATGTGCTCGGGCTTATACGGAGGCAGAGTTCCTAAGGCTCTATGAAGTTTTTTCGTCTACATATCCTTCGGCACGTACGTATCTAGATGAGTGGGCGGATGTGACGAAATGGGCTAGATGTTATTTTCGAGGAGAAAAATACAACATAGACACAAGCAATTCTGTTGAATCTATTAATGGTGTTTTAGAGAGAGCAAGGAACTACTCACTATTACAATTGATTGATGCGATTGTGGGAAAAATCGCGGAGTGGTTTGCCAAACATAGAAAAACTTCTGGACTATTACCAAGTGGTCAATATTTGGTTCCTTTTGTGGAGAAGGAACTCCATCTTACAACTAAGAAAGCGAAAAAGTTGGTGGTGCGAGAGCTAAACGGTTATAATCTTGAATATAGTGTGATTGGAGGCGATGGTAAAATTTATTTAGTTGATTTGAGAAGCAAAACATACTACCTGCAACAACAAATACAAATTCAATATCAAACATTCACAAGCAATCTCAAATTTCAAATCCGAAAGACATTTACACACATTTTGAATCGGAATCCTTTTGAATCTATCTAAAGTAATTCAAATCCAAAAATAGAGAGAAATTCAAATCGAAAATTGGGACAAAGTGATTTTAAGAAGAGTAGAGAGAGGGCAGAGATCAATGGCGCAATTAAATAACAATTCATAAGCCATGGTTACTTGAAAAAGAAATTAACAAAGTCAAAAGATGTAATGCTGCATAGTTTAAGCTATCAAAGGTATTCCAGTCACTGAAAATTGAAGAGTTTGCTCTATAAATCTGATCCATACGTACACAGCTATATAATCATATCTCTACTTAAGCAAAAACAAAATCAATACTGATAGAAAAATAAGTATATTTTAAACAAGTCAAACTTAAACGTCATCCTTCTTCTTAGTATCGATCTAAACATGTACGAATCAAAACTAGTAAATTTTGAAAGGCAAATCCAAACTTAAAGCGAAACTATTGAATCCAAAGAAGAAGAGAAAGCTGACCCTTGGGATTGTTATGTTTCTTTTGATCAAGCTGAATCAGAATGTCGAAACAATCGGAGAACGGCTGCGTCTTCGGAGAGTGACAACGAATCTCTAGCAAATTGTTTTTTGGGTTTTGTGAATTGTGAAGTAGGAATGTTTTTCCAAGCACGCTAAATCGAAAACCCTAGCAAAGTGAATTTTAGGGGAGTAGCGAGAGGCGAGAGGCGAGAGGCGAGAGATGTTCGTCGTTTTGTTTTAGAGAAAAGGGGAAAAATACACGGTTAGAGATTTTTAGTGTTAAA